TCTGTGTATCTCTCTCTCTCTATGTCTCTCTCTCAAAGCCGACTGGGCCAAGCCAGCAAGTTCAAACTGGCTGTACAACGATCATGGAAGCATCCCTTCAAGCGACCAACCCTCCTCCCCCCTCCCCTCCTCCTCTTGCAACTGGCGGCTATGGTGGAGCCATGTGTGTGTGTATGTGCCTCTCTTCCCAAGGGGGAAGCATAGCAGGAGGAGGAAAGGCAAGCTGTTGAACCCCGGCCCTGGGCTTACCATACCTGTAGGGGGGGGGGGATTAAGCAGCAGCAAGACAGGAATGGTGATAATGGTGCCCAAGGAACGCAATACCATCGATTCTGGTGGCATTGGGGCTTCCAGGACCAGCCCCCCACCTCGCCGTCCATCAGCTGTTTGTGTGGGCAAGGAGGAGCGAGGCTGACGGGGAGGGGCCAGCCAGGGGTGTGATTTGCCAGTTCTCTGAACTGCACAGAATCATAACATCCGGTTAGAACCAGACAGAACCGGTAGAAACCCACCCCTGGGTACATAGGAAACATATACAGGCCATAGGTTGTCCTCTCTTCCTTTATAATATCAGGAAATGCTAAACCACTGTATGTTATTTCTGAAATAACAGACTATGTACTTCCTAAATAAAAGAATGGAATGAAATGATCTTTCGACCAAATGTGTTCTTTAAATATTTAAATAATTGGAAAGAAAAGACCATGATCATGTTTCATAAGGATAGTTTTGGTTTCAGTAGCAAGATACTTAAATACTGCTTCTTTCTAATTGCAGAACAATCTACTGCATAAATCAAAGCACAGCATATCAAAAGAATATGAATGTCACATTGGAAACTTACCTAATGTACTGGGATCTGATTTACGCATGCTTACAGTCATTGATTAATCAATACTAATTTGTTCACTGATATCATGGGATCTACCTCATCTGAGACAGGATTCAATTTATTATCAAATAATTATTCAAATATTAATTTCATTATGATTGCATTAAAATTCATGCTATTTTTTCTAAACAGTTTTGGATTTGGTGACTTTGGGACTTGACAGAGCTCATTTATGCCATTTAAATAATCTAGGGATATTTTCTGTAATCCTAAAACAGCTTCACCCTGTAGACCAGCAGTCGCCAACCGGTGGGCCGTGGCGCACTGGTGGGCCGTGAGAAAATTTTGGTGGGCCGCAGAGAAATCTCACCCCCAGAGCACCACCACCCCAAGCAATTAATCCAGGCTGTGCAGAAACACATGGCCTGTGGGAACCCTCCCCGCCCACTCACTTCTTACCCAATAAACTTGCTTGCTAAATTGCTATTTTTCCTTTTTCCGACCATCATCTGTTCTGCTGTGCCAGGAGATTTAGATTAGCTAGGAAGCAGGAAATGGTTGGATTTCTTGCTCTCTAGCTAGTCTTTAGATCTTTGGCTCAGCATAGCCAAACCTCCCTTAGGACTGAAGGTTTGCTTGCAAGCAAATTCAGTGCAGACTCACGGCAAGCAAATTTGAGAGACTGAGCTAGCCAATGGCAGATATATAGATCACTGAATGATTCTGTGAGCAACTCACAGAGTTGAGAAATATTCTTTTATTAAATCTATTTAAGGATTATTATTTTTTTTGGTTGTCTTACAATTCTGAATATATGCACTAGTTCTTTTTATTTATAATAGTTAAAACATAGCAAATTATTGTACCTGGTAACTAAACATAAGCAATATCTCAGGTAGAATTCATAGTAACAATATAGAGTATTGATAACTAACCATCACAAAGCACCAGAGTTCAGGAAGCTGTTCTCTAAATTTCCAATTACAATAGGAATTTTAACACTTTGCAAGAGGATATCAGTAAGACAGTCAATCAGTAACCATTGTTCAGCATTTTCTAGTAACCTAAATATGCTTCAATATTATGATCAATGCTATGATCACTTTTATCATTTGCCTGATGCAAATCTGACTAATTGGTAGGTTGTCTTGAGAGAAGCTCCAGGATCTGAGATCAATGTTAGGAAGTTCAGGTTTATGGAAGCTCCCTGCAGAGTAATTTGGAAGAGAGCTGGCAATAACTAATCAGAGCTATTGGAATATCATTTTGTATCTCTATAGCAATACAAATCCTTTAAAATATGACCATATTAACTCTATTTAAAGGGGGAAATGCTCCTGTTATTTTGTGTATCTGATTTAAAGAATTTGTATGAAACTGTTTATGTGTGAGCTTATTTATGAGTTCTCATTCCATTAAAGATAGGTTAAGATTTATTTCCAACTGATTTCAATAAGAGTTAAATACACCTTAAATCTATCTCAAGAAATAAACAAGATTTAAAAGTGCTCAGCTTAAGTTCATCACTATATGTTCACATTAAAAATCTTGGGAAATAGTTAAAATGTATTTCATTTATAAGATAGTTAAGATATTGTTTATGTCCTACCTGATGGCATAGCTCATGCACAATGACCATGGTGACATCCAGTAAATACGATATGGAAGAAATGCTTGAATCCAGGAGTATCCTTTGCTCCACAAAAACATTTAATCCCCAGTTCTCCATTGCAGCATAAGGATGCTTAGGCACAGCTAACAGATCTAGAAACAGAATGAAATGTACTTTAACAAGATTGTGGGTTTTAAAATGTTCATTAATTAAAAATGATGGGACATGAGAACAATTCTGAAATGCACAAATCAAAACATTAACATTCCTCAGAAATACAACTCTGCTTGATTGTTTAGCATATATCATGTCCTAAGAATTGAAATACATTATACTCATTTAAAATTCACTAGTGCTACCCATCATTGGAACAGATCAGAAACTCATACTTCAGCATTAATAACTATTAAAAGACAATTTTATAGAACTTAAAATTTGGCATCTGAATACAAAGAAGCAACTATTCATATTTGTCTATATCAAAAATTCAGTTTTATTACAATGAAATTTGCTAATTAGAACAGAAGGTATTGTTGTCACTTAGTTGTTCCAAATCCATGAGACTAAATACGGAAAATCTTGAATTCAAAGCTAGTGTGGTAATGTAAAGGTTTAGCCAATGAGATTATTAAACTGCATTATTTTTCTTGTATATATTTCTACAATTTGTAATCTTGTGCATATGAGTTATACATTATTTCCATGGCTTTCCATTTGTTCATGAGAATAATGTCTAAAATATAAATAATGTGCCTGGCAGGCTTTATACTTAAAACATCTGAATATTTATTTTATTTTGCTTCCATTACATGTAATGCACACAAATGCACTAACATTATTCACTAATGGAAATACCTTGATGCTAGTTGCATGTTTGTATGAATCGTGGAGTACATTTAATTGTTACTGGAAATTACAAGCAGTACACAAGAGCAACTTAATATATAAAATGCATACTTTGTGGTTTTGTGTATCTGTGCATATGTGCATATGTATTAAATATACTGTGTGTGTGTGTCTGTCTATCTATCTATCTATCTATCTATCTATCTATCTATCTACACACACACACAATATATATATATATGTTCTGTCTCGCCTTTCCTCTTTCCGAAAACTCTCACAAACACAGGCAGGCAAGCTGGCTCGGACTTCACAGAGTTAATTCTTTGGAACTGATAATATTCTTGGCATTCCAACATGTCCTGCCTACCAAGTCCGAACTGATAGCAAATAAAATTTTACTCACAGAAAATCACAAGGCAGTCCACAAAGAAAATCTGAAGTAAGGTTAAACTTTGTCCCGTACAAAGTTTCAGGAGAAAACACACCCACTTTTATCCCCTGTGGGTTGTGGCTCAATGACTCAGTTCACTCTCTGACCCTCCCATGCCTCCTACGTTGCTGCTCACATTTCTCCCTACGACGCTGCTTAGGATCGAGCCAAAACTCTTCCTCTTTACTCCCTGTCAGGGGCTGTTCCGATATGCCTTTCTCCTGATTAATTTCAGGCTGTTCCTCTCGGTTGTCTGATGGAACCTGAGGCATTACCAGGGAGGAAGGTCCTGGGGAGGAAAGCATTGCCAGAGAGGAAGGTCCTGGGGAGGAAGGCATTCCCAGTTCCTCCTCCTCATCTTCCAGGTCCTCTTCCTCTGACAGCATAGGCTTGGGAATCGGGGCCACAACATATGTATATATACACACACACACGTATACAGTATATATAATACATATATACTGTATATACATATATGCATAAAAATATATACTTTTCTGTCAACAAGCAATGGGAAACCATGTTAAATTCCCCAGCATATTTTTGAATATGCTGGCTGTTTACTCGGTGCATTCTGGACTGCCAGTGTGATGACCCAGGGTGGGATACAAAACAAACACAGTCACAGAAAACAGGTGAAGCCCCTTTTATTCCTTCACAGTCTGCAACAGTTGTGCCCTAGATTTGAGACTTTTCTGCACATGACTATAGTTTGAGAAGCTGCTGTCAGAAATCACCTTATTTCTTAACAGAAAATGTATTTATTGCTCGGCTTAGCAAATAAATTTCCAACAAATGTATTCCTGGACTAGCTTCTTTATACTCAATTCCTGCTCAAAACTGAGTATTTCATGGATTATTTTTCTATAATCCACTAAATTGTATCCTTTTCTTCCTCTCCTCAGGAAAATCCTTTCCTCAAAAAACTGTGTTAAAGTACAAGTTTTACATCTCTTACGGAGTTTTGGCCATTAGCTTTTGTGCAAGCAAACAGAACTAATTGATCTATATAAAATAGCCATATGTAGCCCTATTTTGCTAAATAAACCATAGGAATTCCTGCTGTTCCATGTATTTTATTGTGTGAAAGAATGCATCAGTCCATTTCCTCAGGCTGGGCTTCCTTAAAATATAACTCATTTCATAATCTCAGGACTTTTTCCCCCTCTAGATATTAGTATGTTCTTAGACCCCAAAATCATTTGGTACATGAATAATTTCCGCAAACATTGGTGAATTTGCTTAGTTCCATTTTAGGAGACTGACTGGGGATCTATAAAATATGCTTCTTATGTCATACTGCTAGTTAGCCTTCAACTGCTACAATGTAATCTAGGCCTGGTTGTATGCACTGGCTCCATAATGTGAAAGGTGCAGAAAATTCCCAACTTCTGTTGCCTAATTTCCTTTTCTCGGGAGAGAAGGAGAGAGTTTGGTATGGTGAACAAGGCACTAGCCTAGAAACAAGGCGATTATCAGTTCTAGTCTCACCTTAGGCTGAAAGCTGGCTGGGTAGCTTTGGACCAGTCACTTTCTCTCAATCCAACTCAAAAAGTAAAATGAGTAAAAATGAGTATGTTAACATTCTAAGAGGTAAAATGTATTCATATCCACTTTGCACATATTTAAAAGAAAGAAGCTTTTTTAGTCTTTGCTAACCAGTCATGTTATTGCACTTCCAAAAGTAATATATAAAATGAATAAATAAATGTGACCGGCACCAGCATAAAATAAACAAAGGGGACAAAGTGGCACACATAAATGATTGTTTAATAAGAAACCTAGAGTGTTTCAGATTAAATCTTCTTCACAAACTCTTATTTCCTCAAACTACTATACTATGTGAGGAAAAAATCTTTATTCCAATTCCAACGAAACTTGTTTGGCTTTATATTAAACCATTTTTCTTCCTGTACTAAATGAGACACGGTGAGCCCAGCAAATATAGATATGTGACCATAGCTTAGTGAACAAAGAAAATGAGAAGGATCTGCTTATCCTAAAATAAAATGTCCATGAGAGGAAATATATTTTATGAGTTGATATAGAGAAAAGAATAAAAATATTCAGAGTTCAATAAACTGGGCAATGTTAAAAGGAACAGTCATTTTCACAAAATTACATAGATAGCAATTTAGTTTACGGAATATCTTATCCTCTGCTCCAAACAAAAGCTTGACACAGAGGGGAAAAAAATGGAATATATATTAAAACAAATATAATTAATGTCAGGGCTCCGATTTAAAAAAAAGAATGCAAAGAGATTCAGGCAAATATAGACATCTTTTCCATGTAAACTTGGGAAAACAATTGCCTTATACGGAAGATAGGCAGCACAAATATTAATTTAATGTAAAGCACAAAAAATAAAATGATATATTAAAAAGAAGAGCAAATCTTCATGCAGAATAAGACTAGATTCTGAAAAGGTAAGTTCTGCATTATTTTTCTGATGCAAAAAAAAAAAATTCAGAAAAGAACAGAGCTGCTGCCATCAGCATTGGAAAGAGCCTGCCACATCTGACCTTGATAAGGAAAACTTGCAACTTGTTTCAAACATTGATTGTGGACAATCTATTATCTTCTGTAGGTGCAGATGCTGCACTAAACAACAGTTACCCAATCACAACCACTTTTTAACTACATTTAATTACTGTACTTAAATGAATGCAGAAGGATTCACCAAATGTCTATGGAGATTCTCAGTCATCCAGGTCAAACTTTGGGATTCACCAAATGTTAACATCCAGGTTTATGGTACAGCTTAAAGCACCAGAAGAGTGGGACAATAATGGTCTTAATCTAGGTTGGATTCCAACTACCTGACTAAAGAACCAGTCCTGAACTCCACAGGCTTTTGATGTCCTGGCACTAGGTTATTAAGGGAAAATTGAAATTCTGTTGATACCCAAATTTTCCCACTACTTAACCAAAGGAAGTCCTCTGAATTTTTGGAGGCCTCTTTGTTAGAAGATTTGGGATTCATGATCCTCAGAAGTGAACCTGCCTCAATTAATATATATGGCACAACACATACTTTAGATTGTATTCTGAACAAGATTAAAGGATACTATGAAAATACTCTATTAGTACTACTGAATACGTTAGTTTTGACTGACTGACTGATAAAATATCTTTAAAACAAATTCTGCTAGTTTAGTTGAAAGCTCTGTTGAAGCTCTGACCTCTGCCTAAATCATCAAGGATGACTTAAGCCATCACTAAAATCACTCCCAGCAACCTTACCCCATCTTATAGCACCCTGTCATCTTTTTGATACTGAGATATGAAGGGAAATTCAGTGACAAGATTGATGTCTAGACAAAACAATGAAACATGCTATGAATACAACTGAAGATAGTTAAGAATCCATTTGCAAACTTATTCTGTAGCATGAAAATCAAGTAATAGATCTCCCCCCCCACACACACAGTTACAGTGTCAGTATAATGTCATTTTAAAGAACTGTTTCACTTGTGCGTATAAAGTTGTCTAAATCTGCAGAAACTCAAAGCTTTTCTTTTGCTGGTAGATTGGATTAGTACACTAGTCAATTTATTATGGATACATTTCACATTGTATTGCCAGAGGATACGAATGAATTGTTGAGTCTGCAAAGCTATCATATATTTTCTGAACCTTTATCAGGTAAAATTCTAGAATTTGTCATAACTGATCATTTGGACTTCAGAAACTGATCCTTCAGTTTTATTTGCTTCTCTTTTTTTTTTGCAAAAAAACAAAAAAAGTGTCGAACTTCCAATATAAGGGCTTCCCATGCTAACAGGAGAGCAGAGCTAAGGTGCTCTGCAAGGATCCCCACAAGAAAGGGACCACACCCTTCCACATGAGCAACATTGGGGTTACTTCCCTTCA